AAATTTTTTTGAACATAGTTGAACTTTCAATCTTTTATTTTGTGGCATTTGGATTTTGTGTTTTATTTAGAAGGCTCTTTTCTACACTAACATTATTTTGAGGAACATCTTAGCATGATTGATTTGGGTATTTTAATGGTTTCATTTTGTACATTTTGGTTTTTGATTCAAATGAAATTTAACCTGGAGTAGGAAGTGTGAATTTAACTTTTCCTGGATGGTCATTTAGATTTGCAAACACGTTTTACTGAATAATCGTCTCTCCTCTTCATATTTGAAACATACCTTTATCAGATATTAAATGACCATATGTATTTTGGAATATTTTCTTTCTTTTTTTTTTGTAGTTGGGATTGAACCCCAGGGGCACTTAATCATTGAGCCACATCCCCAACCCTATTAAAAAATATATTTATTTAGAGACAGGGTCTCGCTGAGTTGCTCAGGGCCTTGCTAAATTGCTAAGGCTAGCTTTGAGTTCAAGATCCTCCTGCCTCAGCCTCCTGAGCAGCTGGGATTGCAAGCACGTGCCACCCTGCAGGGCCTATTTATGGTTTATTGATTCTGGTTTCACATGCTAGTACCATGCTGTTTGGGAGATTTGGGTTTTTTTTTTTTTGTTGTTGTTGTTGTTTATTTGTTTTTTAGTACTGAGGATTGAATCCAGACATGCTCTACCACTGAGCCACAAATTTAATCTGGAATATGAAGCCACAATCCCCATTGCTTTCCATTTTTTTGTTGTGAAGAAAGGTCTTGCTAAGTTCCTTAGGATCTCACTAAGTTGCTGGGGCTGGCCTCAAACTTGCAATCCTCCTGCCTCAGCTTCCTGAGTTGCTGGGATTACAGATGTGCACCACCATACCCAGCAGTACTACACAGTTTTACCATAAATATTCTTTGAAAGAAAAAATACCTGAGAAGATTGGTTGCCTTTTATTACTCTCATTTTTAGAATTTTCCTAGTCATTTTTGTTTGCTTATTTTTCCAATGAATTTTTGAATCATTTCTCTAATTTCTCCTCAATTTAAATTACATAATTAAATGCATTTCAATAGTGTTAAATATGTATTAATTCAGGGTAAATTGATGTGTCTTGCTGGTGTTGAATTTTCTTATCCAACAATTCAGTGCGCTTTTTCAAATGACCTGAAACATTTTGTCTTTTTATGGTTGTTTGGGATCCTTACAAATTAACATTTCAGGAAATGACTGTGCCATACTTTCTGTGGCTCCCTTGGCCTCTAGGATTAAGTCTAAATGTCTTAGCTTTTCATTCAGGGATGGCTATATCCTGTTTAAAACCTGTTTTGCCTCTCTCTCTCTCTCTCTCTCTCTCTCTCTCTCTTTTTCCTGTGGTACTAGGACTCTAACCCAGGGCAAGTACTCTACCACTGAGCCACATCCCCAGCCCTTAAAACCTATTTTGCACATGTCTGCTAACCTGCAGCATTCAGTAGCCTGTGGACAAGCTTTGTCCTTTGATGCCTGTCTGCTTGGGCTCATTCTGTCTTCCTGACTTTCCTTCCTTTCCACATATACAAAATGCTTTTCTGTAGAAGGACCCTCTTGATGACTCCAGTTGAAATGACCTCTGTCTTCTTTGACATCTGGAACTTTTATTATATGCACCATTTATCTTGTAACTAAGCCAATATCACCTTGTAGCAGCATTTGTGTGATTGAAACTAATTGCCATTTATTTCTTGTGTGGTTGAAAAATGAACAGTTAGTGAGTATGTGTCTTGTTTCCTCAACTCCATCATGAGACCTCCGGGAGCCTGAGGCGGCCTATGCGCACGCATTCTCTAGGACAGGCCCATGCACGTAGTAACAGTAGCCATGGTGATGATAACTCACATGATGTCATGCTTTCTGTGTGCCAGCATTTTCCATGTATGAACTCAGTGGAAAAATATGTGAGGGTTTGGTGTCGTGTGTATATTTGACCTCAAGCTTAACTTTTGAAGGGGATTATGAGAAAGAGATCACTCATCAAGATACCCAGAGAGTAATTCTGGGTTAGAGCTGACCATTGAGGAAGATGAATTTTCTTAGGGCAGCCCTGACATTTAGTGGGAGTGGAAGTGGCCACGGCCTGAGAAGGAGGAGAATCGGAGACGCCCTGGGTTCCATGGTGGCCAGAGACCAGGAGCCTGTCCATGCTCACGCACTCCTTCCTGCAAGGACAGGGTTAGAGCTCTGGAAATAAATCCTGGCTCCTGCAGGGCCTTGCTGAGGCTTCCTTCCCACAGCCTGATCCGCTGCAGGATGGCTCGGGTGCCCTGGGGACAGGCCTATGCACAGCGCCTTCCCTCCTGTCCACAGTACCAGGGTTCCCCACCCAGCTGGCTCTGGGCCACTGGCCTCTCCTGCACTTGGAAGGTTCTTGAGGAGTGACCAGGCCATGCGGGAGTGAATGTGCTGAGAGGGTCGATGGGGAGCAGCCAAATGAATGGGCTGATGGAAATTAATCCCCACCCCTGGGCCTTTTGTCTCCTTTTGATCATCATTACCCTCTCGGGATCTTTCCTGTGTCTCAACACTGCAAAGCATTGCAGGGTGCGGGAGACTCTGGGTAATTCCACCCCAGCCTCCAAGTTACAGCAGCCAACAGGCCACTGCCCGTGCTCTCAATCAGCAGCTCCAGCATTTGAGGGCCTAAAGCGCATCATTTATGTGTTGAAAACTGGGGAGCTCTGAGGATGCTTCATGAAACTTCTGCACCAATGTATGTGCCAGCCCAAACTCCATGTCTCCAGCTAGAAATACCCCCATATCCTTTTACCAGGTACAGATAAACACGTCTAAGCACTGTGTGTCATGAAGCTTTGGGGTTTAAAGACAGGAGAATGTAGGAGGAATAAAAAATTAGCTTTTGGGGACACTTACTTGCTAAAGGGGCTAAAAGTTTCAGTGCCTTAGTCAAAGGTTGCACATCTAATTGAAAGGATGAGCCACTTAAGAAACAGATCTGTTTTCTAGGGAAAACCCTGCGGGACTCTAGCTGGCTCTGTTGAATCCCCAAATGCCCCAGAATAAATGCGGTTGCTTTCTGTCCAGCATTATCATCAACACTTTGGATGCATTTTGCTGAAGCTGACTCTGAAACTAGGAAAGCATTTTAATTTGACGCAGACTATAGGGTTTCCCCCATGCAGCTTTGCCCAGAGGTCCAGAATGAATGAATGCCGTTTCATATTTTGTATTTATTTAAGGTTCGGATGAGCTGTACTAGTACTTTTCCTCTTCTTGGAGAGCTTCTTTAGGACGCTGCCACAGAATTTTTCATATATGACTCAAACACCCATCATACGTGTCATAGCATTCGTCTGCCTCAAAGATGGGGACTGTCCTGTCCTTGAATTCCCTACCTCCACCCAGAGCCTGGCACCTGCTGGGTGTACGGTAAACATTTGCTGAATGAATGAACAGATGAATAGAGAGGCTGAGTTCCTAGCACTAAAATAGCCATGAAGTAGGAAGGAATTTGATGCTAGAGCCTCAGGAACTGCCAGCTTTATACCCTTGAGGCGGCACTGGCTGGGCTCCTCTTTTTGTAATCCTGAAGTCAGGTATTTAATAATTGAAGAAGCCAGCCCTTCCACGGTTTGGGCTCCACTGAGCTCACATCCAGCCTGCTTCCGCAGTGCCAATGTTCCCTCCCGGCTTAGCCACACTATGTCTGCTCTGGCTGTGACCCACCCCCCACGCACCATCCCTAGGGATCCTGCAGGGCCCCCAGGCCCAGCCACGCTGTCAGGTCAGCTGAGCTCTGAATGCCCAAACCCAGGTGGCCAGGAGCCAATTGCCACAAACTGTACACAAAACCAAGCAGAAGGAGGGCTCACGCCACCTTCTCTCGTTTCTATTTCTTCTTTTCTACTGCTCCTTGCTCTCTTTCTCCCCTTTCTTTGTGTTATCCCAGTCTTCTCTCTTCTCTCCAGCCTTACCTGGACAGGTTAGTGGCATTTATTTATATAAAGATATCAAGAATTACCCACTCGAATTGGCCCAGCACAAGCTGGGAGCTTCTTTGGGGCTGATGTTGATTTAGGATGGAGGTGTCTTGTCACCATCCCAGAGCTGAAGATCAAGAAGCCCTGCCTGCCATTCTGAGGGTAGGAAAGAGAGAATTGTGCAATGGATAGAATAGATAGAGTAGTGCAATGCTCGTAGCTCCCAGCAGGAGCATTCATTCTCCTTAACCCCATGTGGATCACCGTTCTATGTATCCTAACTCTTCATCTCTCTCCTCTACCTACCAGGAACTCCTTGTAGGCGGGTGATTTGTTTTACCTTCCTATGTCGTCAGGCCTAACATAGGCCTGCCACCTAGTACAGTCATCCCTAGTTCAGCTAGGAAGCACCAGCTGTGAAGCACCAGGCCCTGGGGGTGGAGAGGTGAACAGAACACCAAGGAGCCCACAGTCTTACCAGAGGATCATACATTTGGCTAATACTTGGAAATGCAAATGCAGGGGTCAGGACATGCACAGGGAGACCTGCCCCAGCCAGAGGATCAGGAAAAGCTCTCCTGAAAAATCCATTTACACTGACTCTTAAGGGATGGATGGGGATTAGATGAAGGGAATATGGAAGAGTGGATAGAATAAGAAAGAACATTGGATGGATGGGTGGAGGAATGAATGGAAGGATGGAAGGATGGATGCATGGGTGGGTGAACCTAGCATTGAAGTCTGAATTCAATGCCACAGTAGTACAGAATATTCTGACTGACAGTGGGAGACAGAACGTGAATCCGGGGTGTCTTGCTAGGTATGTGGTGGTGGGAGCAGAGTCTTCATTGCCTTCCTCGGCTGGTCTGTGGGCCAGAGGTGCCAGGAATGGCGCATGCTCTTGGGAAACACGTGAAAGGACACACCAGCCTCCTCTGCCAGGCATGGGGGACCCTGGGACTACGGTGGAACTCCTCAGCCTGGGTCACATGGCCCTGCCAGCCTCACACAGCTCACCCAAATCTCTTCTTCCTACCCAGATGAACGGGAAGTTGTTCAGAAGAAGACCTTCACAAAATGGGTGAACTCCCACCTGGCCCGAGTGTCCTGCCGTATCAGCGATCTCTACAAGGACCTGCGGGATGGGCGGATGCTCATCAAGCTGCTGGAGGTGCTCTCCGGAGAGATGCTGGTAAAGCCCCTCTCTGTGCTGGGCCTCTTCCTGGACCCATGGCTGGTACCATCAGCCCCATTTTAGGAAAGGCATGGTCAGGGTACCTTCAATTCTCATGGCCTGCCAGGGTTTCTCCTTGTTCTTTTGGACTTCCCAATACTTAGAATGTCAAGTGTCCACATGGCTGACTAGGTCCCCTGACCTCTTCCCAGAGCTTTTTGTCCCTTCTGACCACTCTCACAATGGACAGTTAATTGAGCTCTTATTATGTGCCAGGCATGCTTCTCATAGAAGCCATGCAAAGCACTGTTGTTCTCACTGGAGTCTGGGCCTCTGGGGCTGCCTGAAATGGCCTGAGCCTTAGCCCCCTCACATGGGCTGAAATGTGTGTGTTGTTGGAGAATTTACATCTTTCCTGGAAGCCAGAGGAAAGTATGGAAGGTAGTTTAGCCATGTGATTTCCCACATGTGTTAGTAGAATCTCTTAGAGACCCTCCCAGCAGACCCCACCTGGTGGTACAATTGCCTCTGAAGGAGAAGTAGGTGAAAGTGCTTGTTTTGCTCTGTTACTTCCTTGGTGATCTTGGGCCTATCAGATAGGACCCTCTTTGCTTCCATTTCCGCGATGCATAGACTGAGAACAAGGATACGTGTACCTGAGGAAGTACTCTGAGAACCTTGGGGTTTGAATGAAAATGTACCTCACCTTTTCAACTCCAGGCTGAAGTTCTCTCTCTTACTTGTTTTGAAATGCCACCGAAGAGTATTACCCTTGAGATCCTTTTGAATGGGACATTTAGCATCCCTGATGAGCCCCTTGGGTTTGGGCTGGAGGCATTTAGTGCAGGGAGGAGCATGATCGGGCGGGCACGGGTCTGTTATCAATCACCAAGCTTTGAATTATTCTTGTCACTGACCTGCAGTAATTAGTTCTTAGAACTGTGTCTGGAGCATAGTAAGTGCTCAATTAACTGTTTGTCCTATTATTGTGTTCGAAGGCCATTTGGTGCCTGCTCAGAAGGCTGTATTCAGACCCAAAAGGGCACCCATGTAGTCTGGTTGCTGAGCTCTGAGTGCTCACAACAGGGAACCTCCTACCTTTGCTAAAAGGAAAGCAAGAGTGACCCATTGGCCAGGGAGAGTGGAGGGTGGTGCTGATGGCAGGAGCTGGTCCAGCCTACAGACACCTGTGTAATCCCTCTGTGCCAACTGGTGCCATTGCTGTCCCCCAGCCAAGGCCCACCAAGGGAAAGATGCGCATCCACTGTCTGGAGAACGTGGACAAGGCCCTGCAGTTCCTCAAGGAGCAGCGTGTGCACCTGGAGAACATGGGCTCTCACGACATCGTGGATGGCAACCACCGCCTGGTCCTGGGCCTCATCTGGACCATCATCCTCCGCTTCCAGGTGGGTCCCAGGGAGGAATTCAAGGAGGCCTCTTGGCACTTAGGGATTGTACAAAATGGTGACTAGAGAGCAAGTGAGTGTGTACCTTCTGGGAGTCTAGAAACCCATCTACGGGACAGAGCTCTTGGAAGGAGAGCCTATCCCATGTCATCCCAAAGTGCCGAAGCTCAGGGGCATCCCTCAGTTGTAGAGCAGTGTCTTGAGGGACACCATAGAAGTCAATGAGAAATAATGATAATCAGGGTCCAGATTATTCCTGAGGACATTTGGAAAGGGTGAGGGAAGGAAAGCAGGGCTTTTGACCCGCTGGCTTGAGGGTGGCCAGGAGGGAGAAGAGAACAGCCAGCCACCGACAAGGCCTCATATCAGTGGTCCCGGAGGTGGGATGTCACTCCCCGCAAGTGAGGAAGAGTGGGTGGTCATAACAGCAGGACGAAAGGGCAGGGGGAACCGCTAATGAAACACCGCATCATCCAGCTTTCCTGTTGTTCTTCCATCCTGGGGGGCATCGTACTGACTGGAGGAATCAGGGCGTGGTGTCGTCAGTTCTCAGTGTCCTGCTAGAGTTTCCCAATTTAAGCTGTCTCCTCTGACATGAGGAAGCCATCCCATGTGCTCGGGCAGACTGAGGCGACAGGGACCAGGGCCTCAGGGTGGTGTTGCTGCAGAGCCGGAGCTGTGGACGGATGGCTGCAGAAGAGGACAGAGGAAGGGCGTCCCTCAGGGATCTGTGCTAAACTACTCCCCCCCCTCCTCTCTCTGCCATCCTCAGATTCAGGACATTGTTGTCCAAACTCAGGAAGGTCGTGAGACGCGGTCAGCCAAAGATGCCTTGCTGTTGTGGTGTCAGATGAAGACGGCAGGGTATGTGTGCCTCGGCAACCTGCCACTACCACGTTCCCCCCCCCTCCCCCTGTCTCTGGCTCCCCCCGGGGGCTGCCATCCCCAAGGGACACAAGAATCACCACCTAGAACTGTAATAGCTCCAACATTATCGATGCTGCCAGTCCTGACCTGGTTCTTGGGGCTGAGGCAGGTTCTTTTCTAAAGTTGCCTGAGGTCAGACTGTGGGGCCTGTTGGGTGTGTAGGCCACAGCCATGGGAGAGCGTCTTTGTGTGGCTTAGGTCTGCCCCCTGGTGTTGAAGTAGCTCAGAAGGGACAGATCTGTTCCTCTCCTGGCATATTGGCCCTCAGTTCACACACTTGTTTATGGCTCCAAAAGAATCTATTTCTCATATTTTTTTTTGGTACTGGACATTGAATCCAGGGGCATTTATCCACACGGAGTCATACCCCCAGCCCTTTTATGAATTTTATTTAGAGACAGGGTCTTGCTGAGTTCCTCAGGGCCTTGCTAAGTTGCTGAGGCTGGCTTTGAACTCACGATCCTCCTGTCTCAGCCTCCCAAGTTGATGAGATTACAAGCATGAGCCACCATGCCCAGATATTTCTCAGATCCTTTTTTTTTGGAGTTGGGGGTGGGTACCGGGAATTGAACTCAGGAGCACTTGACCACTGAGTCATATCCTCAGCTTTATTTTTTATTTTATTTAGAGACAGGGTCTCATTGAGTTGCTTAGGGCCTCACCATTGCTGAGGCTGTCTTTGAACTTGTGATCCTCCTGCCTCAGCCTCCCAAGCCAATAGGCTCACAGGTGAGCGCCACCACACCTGACCTATTTCTCAGATCTCACTGTTTCTCTTGAATATTTAGGTACCCCCACGTCAATGTCACCAACTTCACCTCCAGCTGGAAGGATGGCCTGGCCTTTAATGCCCTGATACACAAGCACCGGTAAGAGGAAGGAGAGAACTGTGGGGACGGACTGGGTATTTGGATGTGTTGCACTTAACACAGGGGCCAAGGGAAGGCTCCTCTGCTGTTTTTTCTCCTTTCGCCCTTGGCCTCCCTAATGCCCATGCTTCCCTTAAGTTCCATTCGCACCAGATGCCCACTTCCTCACCAGCTGGTGCTCACAGCAGCCCCTCTTCGCTGTTCCCGTCTCTCATTTCTCCTACCTGGCTACCTTCCTGCATCTGTCCAGTGTCTTTCCATCATGCTAGGGCTGCCCTCTTAACTGTCCATCTTTGTCCCCAGGCCTGACCTGATCGATTTTGATAAGCTGAAGGACTCCAATGCCCGGCATAACCTAGAACACGCATTTGATGTGGCTGAGCGCCAGCTGGGCATCATCCCGCTCCTCGACCCTGAAGGTGAGCCAGCCCTCCTCACTATTCTACAGAGAGCCGGGCTGAAAGGGTTCCTGGAGGCTGGCCAGGTGCCAGGTACACTCAGGCACGGGGAGGGCGTGGAGACAGGCCAGGGCTCTGCACTGGACCAGCTCATCAGCTCCAAGCAGGTTCCAAGCACCTCCCCTGCCTATACACAGGTCTAGTGTGGACCTTGGATCCCTCTTTCTGCCTTTGTGGTCCTGCTGTGCATTTCATCACTGTGTGAATCAGACCTTCTACTCTCACCCCATTGGCTGTCACTTGATGCCTATGGTTGAACTTGTGCCGGAGGAAGAGGGGCTGAACCTCAGCCTGACCTTTCTGGCTTTGGTTTGGTGCTGAGAGGGCACCCTTTCCCCTTACAGATGTCTTCACAGAAAACCCCGATGAGAAATCCATCATCACGTACGTGGTGGCATTTTACCACTACTTCTCCAAGATGAAGGTGCTGGCAGTGGAGGGCAAGCGTGTCGGCAAGGTACTGAGCTCTTCTGTCAGTACAGCATCATTCTTTCCATTTGCCAGCCCCAGGCCCTGTCCAGTCTGAGAGCTTCAGGTCTGGGCCCCCAGCTACAGCGTGTGTGTGTGTATGTGTGTGTGTGTGTGTGTGTGTGTCTAAAGCATTCTGTCAAACTCTCCAGCTGACTTCCAAAGCAGATCTTTGTCCAGAAAGAGGTTTCAGAGATTTCCACCTGCAGCTCCTAGTGTCTTCCGCATGGAGACCTCATGAACATTCCCAAAGCAACCCCTATGGGCTTATTTGGTTTGTCTGTGGCTTCAGACCTCTGAGGCTCCCACGGTTTACCAGAAACCCACCCCTCTGTACACAACCTCAGGTCAGATTCCTTTCCCTTGCTGGGTCATTAACTTCTCAAGGATAGGAACCATTTCCCATTCATCTGTGTGTGTCTGGTATTTAATAAAGATGGTTCTCAATTCCTAAGAAACATTTTTGGATAAATGTATCCCTGTTTTTAAATAAATGAATCCCTAGCCACTCAAGAACTGGTATCCTGGTGCAGTGAGCTTACTAATCTTTTTTTTTTTTTTTTTTTTTTTTTTTTTAGTTTTAGTGGGACACAATATCTTTATTTATTTTTATGTGGTGCTGAGGATTGAACCCAGGACCTCACACATGCACCGCGGGTGCCCTACCACTGAGCCACAGCCACAGCCCGAGTTTACTAATCTTTTATAGGGTTAGAAGAAGGGGGCAAATTCTCCTGAACCCCAGCTCTCTGCCAATTTTGCAAGAGGGCTTTACCTCTTTCCAGCCCACCTCTTTTGCCTTAGCCACATTCTGGGTCTCAGGGGACAAACCCAACTTAGAACTCTCCAGGGCTTGAGAGGTGGGAGCCCCACTTTAGGCACCTTGATTTTGAGCCCCATTGGTGACCTCAGCAGTGGAGATGAGAATGACTGAAAAAGCAATTCCTTAGGTCATTGACCACGCCATTGAGACTGAGAAGATGATTGAAAAGTACAGTGGGCTAGCCTCAGACCTACTCACTTGGATCGAGCAGACCATTAACGTCCTGAACAGCCGCAAGTTTGCCAACTCGCTGACCGGCGTCCAGCAACAGCTGCAGGCCTTCAGCACCTACCGCACAGTGGAGAAGCCACCCAAGTAAGGGCACTTGGGAGGGTGTGGTCGTCGAGGGCTACCCGACTGTTCAAAGGTAGAGCCTGGCTCTGGGTGTTATGAAGTGTATCCTTGGGCCACAGCCTCAAGATTCAAGAGCTGCATGCACATCTGTCACCAGCATCATGCCCCTCTTGGCCACCCTACTCCCAAGTCATCAGTTTATAGGAAACAGGCATTGATGAGAAACCCTGACTCATAACCAAGGAAGGTACTTTGTAGAACCCCTGCCCCCCACCCAGTGAGGCACAGGAGAGGAACTTGAGGCTTCTGAGTCTCCTTGGAGCACTAGTTTTGGAGAGCTCTGCTTTTGTCTGTGTCCTGAGCTGCGGGTTTGTTTTCTGGAGATGACCTCTGTATTCTCAGCCTCTGAGCTCTCCGTGTGGGGCCTTGTGATCATCAAGTATATCCATCTATGCCTCTCCCATCTGTCACTGCTCCTCTGCAAAGCACTAAGCCTGCTGCTCAGAATCTCAGCACCACCCCACCACATGTATACACACACACACAACCATGCAGGCACATATGTGGGCACACACAAAACTGCATGTGCATGCACATGTGCACAAACAACCACACACATGCATAGGTCTGTGCACACAATCATGGATGCACACAAACAACCATGCACACACAGGAACATATTCCCAACTGTGCACAAACAGTACATCCACACATGCACATGAACACACATACACCACACACACATGCATGTGTGTACAATGCAGTTATGCAGGCATATATATATACTCACAACCATGTGCACACATACATGCATGTGTCCACAAACATGCACACAAACATGTATGTGCATGTGTGGTCTCCCTTCGTATCTCCCACACTCTCCATTCAAGACTCTCAAACAGGGTGTTACCCTTGGTTGTATAGACAGTGCTTCAAGGACTTAGCCCTCTTAAGTGCCTCTGAGCACTGAGATCCATCAGGCTGAGCTTGTGGTGGACATCTGGCTTATAGCCAATCCCAGCTGCCATGTGAAGGGTGTTTACATAAGTAGCCCCCTGAGTTTCATGAAGACATGTAAAAGTCCCCAGTTACGTGGAGCTTAGAGCCCATGTGGCAGACATCAGTCCTGCTACCAGTTCTTCGTCTCCTGTACCCACAATCCTCCCAGAGCCTATCCTTTCCTGACCCCTTGAAAACATCTGGCTTATAGGACTTGTTGGAAGATCCAGCTTATTAGCACTTGGGGGGAAAGTTGCATTCAGTACAATATGTTCTTATGTGGATAATGCTGCTCCTAAGGTTTTATTGACTCAATTTAAAAAAAAAAAAACTGTCTAAAGAGCTAGTCAGAAGCCTTCATCCTTTGCAGAACAGGGAAGAGTGTCTTTATGTCGATTGCTAAAACCTGATATCTACCAGAATATTTCAGTTAACTGTTCCCTGTGGAAGCAAATGATAAGTGCTGTGTTAGCCACTGTGTTTTCTCTCATATGCGTTATGAAAACCCAAACCCCTAAGATCTCCCTTGGTGAGAATGATAGATGTTGTAACAGGTAAGCAGACCTATGGCTTCCCTTTACTTTTCCTTTGTTTTTAAATCAATATGCTTTGCTGTCCAAGATCCAAAAACCTCTGTTGATGTCAGCAAGCAATTTGGCCATGAGGATCATGACACCAATCTCCTACCTCTGATTTCTTGACAGGTTTCAGGAGAAGGGGAACCTGGAAGTCCTACTTTTTACCATCCAGTCTCGGATGAGAGCTAATAATCAGAAAGTGTATACGCCCCACGACGGGAAACTAGTGTCTGACATCAACCGGGTACCGTGGTGTTTTCCATTATGCATTCTCAGTGGTGGGCTGAGCTCCTGATGCAGGCATGGGGAATGGCCCCTGGACGAGGTTAAACCAAGCCAGTTTGTTTAGTGGTATTAGCTGCTTGCTGGCTATTTGGAGGCGTTGTTCTGAGAGATCAGACTCTACCCACCATCTTTTTTTGTTCAACTCCTTATTCAGATACTCAGAACTATTCTATGGAGCCAGGTGCATAGCCTGTCCTTAATAGAACCTTTAATTTATCTTTGAATATGAAATATTAATTACTTATAACAAAAGAGAAATGTCTTAAGATGTTTCCAAGGGTTGGAGGTAATCCTTTAGTCAACAGGTATTTACGGAGCTTCCAGAGAGTCGAAAAACACAATATTGGGTCTAGAGTCTGAGGCAGATTTAGGGGAAGAGGGAAGCGAGAGGTCACGACCAGTGAGTGCTCCTCCACTCTTTGTGTGGCCCAGACATGAAGCCCGAGCTTTAAACTGCCACCACGTCGCCCAAGAGCATTGAGATTTACCTAGAATCCCGAAATCACTGTCTGTCTGGTGAAAGAGACGGGAGCCCAAACCCACCCATTTCTTCTGTGCCCCAAGAATTCTCCTTCTGCCCCACACAGGCCTGGGAAAGTCTGGAGGAAGCTGAGTACCAGAGGGAGCTGGCCCTGAGGAGCGAGCTCATTCGGCAGGAGAAGCTGGAGCAGCTGGCCCGGCGCTTTGACAGAAAGGCTGCCATGAGAGAGACGTGGCTCAGCGAAAACCAGCGCCTTGTGACCCAGGTAATGGGGAGGCACTTGGGGATGGCAGGAGAGGAGAGTGCTTCAGAGGCCCTAGCTCTCAACTGACTTGGAGCCTGATTGGCCTCTCAACAGCAGCTGGATAAGCTTCTCCTCACCCTTGTAGCCCAGCTCCTTGAGATTGGCTGGATTAAGAATGGTTTCTGAGGAAGAACTCTCTGGAATTTATCGTCTGTCTTTTTTTTCTGTGCTGGAGATCCAACCCAGGCCTCACCCACGCTAGGCAAGCACTCTATCACAGAGCCCTATACCCCCAGCCTGTATTAAATTTCCTTTTTAGGAAAGAGCCTCATAGTCCAGAAGTGGCCCCTAAAGTTGTCTTACGTGGGCTGTAGCATCAGCAAAAGTGGGGGTCAGAGTTGACACTAAATGATGGTTCTCTGGGAAAGGTCAACTCAGATGCACCTTTTGGAATCTAAGCCTCTAGGCTTGGGACATATTTTACCAGCTAAGAATGGACCCCAGGGCTGATTCTCCATCAGAGCATCTGTTCCCTCCTACTTAGAGCTTAGAATGAAATTAAATTCTGTCCAGAAAGGGGGTAGCGAGTATATTGAGAGCAATGAAGAGTGTATGTGCGCCCCAGATAGCACAAGGGTAAACCATCTGTTCGCAGCTTTGTGGCTTCTGAGAGCAAGCAGTCCCTCCTACCCAGAATCAGACAGGTCCTCTCTTGGCAGGGTGGGGGAGTGCCAGCAGGCCACCAGAGCTCTGCTAGTAATACGCCTGTCACATCACCCACGAGTGTGACACAGAGAATAAAATAAGGGACTGCTTTTAAAGGTTCTTGCAAGACATTTCGTTTTTGGAACTTGGCTCTGATAAGATAGACTGCCAAAAGACAGCAGACTGTCTCCTCGCTGGGAGTGCGCTTTCCCACCCAGCCGTTGTGCTGAAGGGACCTGCTCGCTGTCTACATTTGGGAATGAACTCGGGGGAATCTGATTGAACTGCCTATTGTTGTCCCTGGGGTACAGGATAACTTTGGGTACGACCTGGCAGCTGTAGAGGCTGCCAAGAAGAAGCACGAGGCCATCGAGACTGACACAGCTGCCTACGAAGAGCGGGTGAAGGCCCTGGAGGACCTGGCCCAGGAGCTGGAGAAGGAGAATTACCACGACCAGAAGCGCATCATGGCCCGCAAGGACAACATCCTGCGCCTGTGGAGCTACCTGCAGGAGCTGCTGCGGTCCCGGCGCCAGAGGCTCGAGACCACCCTGGCGCTGCAGAAGCTCTTTCAGGACATGCTGCACAGCATCAACTGGATGGACGAGATCAAGGTGGGCCCCAGGGACCACCTACCCCTTCCCCTACCCACCCCAAGTGGGTTCACCATGGGCCTTCGTGGCCCTGCAGTTAGCATATGCTCCCTTAGATACCGTTTAGCCAATCATATCCCTGAAGCAAAATGGAGAAACTGAGGCAGTAGAGTGTCAACATCATCTGCCTGTCTGCTGCTTGGCTCATTCTGCTCCATCCAGGCAGATGTCACCATCCCATGTACACAGTATCCCCAGTGACCAAGAAATCTTGGGTTTGTGGTCACTAGGGGCCAGCCTGCCGGATCAAGAAGAGACAGGCATTAATCAGGAGCCTGGAGAATCAGGCTGACACTGGTTGGAATCCACTCACAATATAGGAACAACCAGAGTCTGAACTCTCCCCTGTACTCCAGTGGGTCTTGACCAAGGAAGTCACATCAGACTGACTGCAGAGCTTTCTAAAAATGCACATGCCCAAGCCTCGAGACTGATGTAGTAGACGAATACGGGGCTTGGGCTTTCCGTAGGACTGTCCATGGGTGATTCCAATGGGCACCCTCTGCATGAACTCCTGCTAGTTTCTTCTGTCCTGAGCAGCAGCTCCGATACATGGACATGCCCTTGGGAGGGGTCCCATCTCTTCACTTCTTTTTGTCTGCTCTATCATGTCCTCCACCAGGCTCACCTATTGTCTGCTGAGTTTGGGAAGCACTTGTTGGAGGTTGAGGACTTGCTACAGAAGCACAAGTTGATGGAGGCTGACATCGCCATCCAAGGGGACAAAGTCAAGGCCATCATCGCAGCCACCCTGCAGTTCACTGAGGGGAAAGGTGAGCCCAAAGGTGTCTCCTATGGCCAGAGCCCCATCCTCTGGCCTGACACCCACTTTGGATATATCTTTAGAATTCTGCTTCTTTCATCAAGTGATAGTGCATGAAACTTGAGGATAGCCAAGCTCTCCAGATAGCAGGCAGCTGCCTTGGAATCTATACTCAGGAAACATTCAGAGCACTAATAAGACATCGTCCATCTTCCATTCTCTTTGCTAGTTCATTATGGCTGAGACCATTTAAATTTTTAGTTTCTGGTCTTAAACAGAAGATCTCACTGCCTCCTTAAAATTTCATTCTAAACTTTTTAATATCATGGACTGGGGATATAGCTCAGTGATGGAGTACATGCCCACCACACACAAGGCATGATTGCACACAAGCAGTTTGAATGCAATCCCCAATATTGCAAATAAATAAATAAATAATGTTGTATCATGCATTTCTATTGAGAACTGATTTAACTTTTAATCTCTCTTATTCCTAAAGTTTAGTGGGAACCAATGATAAAGAATTTGGCCTGACCTCTGAGTAACTGAGAACTCTGGCATCCAATCCCAAAGCCCCAACAAGATAGTAGCTTCGAGAGTGTATGGTTCTTAATCTGGTAACCGAGCTGAAAGTTGCCTATAAATAAAGCCCTTCCCTATAGTCATCCTCCCTCTTCCTATTCCAGGGTACCAACCTTGTGACCCCCAGATCATCCAGGACCGTGTCAGCCACCTGGAGCAGTGTTTTGGGGAGCTGAGTGACATGGCAGCTGGGCGGAAGGCACAGCTAGAGCAGTCCAAGAGGCTCTGGAAGTTCTTTTGGGAGATGGATGAGGCCGAGAGCTGGATCAAGGAGAAAGAGCAAATCTACTCCTCCTTGGACTACGGCAAGGATCTGACCAGTGTGCTCATCTTGCAGCGCAAACACAAAGCCTTCGAGGATGAGCTGCGCGGGCTGGATGCCCACCTGGGGCAGATTTTTCAGGAGGCCGAAGGCATTATTGCACGCAAGCAGTACGGGTACCCGAGGATAGAGGCCCGCGTCAAGGAGGTATCGGGCCAGTGGGACCAGCTGAAGGAGCTGGCTGCCTTTCGTAAAAAGAATCTCCAGGATGCGGAGAACTTCTTCCAGTTCCAGGGAGACGCAGACGATCTGAAGGCCTGGCTGCAAGATGCCCACCGGCTGCTCTCTGGTGAAGATGTGGGGCAGGATGAAGGGGCCACGCGGGCCCTGGGGAAGAAGCACAAGGACTTCCTAGAGGAGCTGGAAGAGAGCCGAGGGGTGATGGAGCACCTGGAACAGCAGGCCCAGGATTTTCCCCAAGAATTTCGGGATTCCCCCGATGTGACCAACAGGCTACAGGCCCTCCGGCAGCTCTACCAGCAGGTGGTGGCCCAGGCGGACTTGCGTGGGCAGAGGCTACAGGATGCCCTGGACCTGTATACAGTGTTTGGGGAGACGGATGCCTGTGAGCTGTGGATGGGCGAGAAGGAAAAGTGGCTGAAGGAGATGGAAATCCCAGACACCCTGGAGGATCTGGAGGTCGTGCAGCACAGGTCAGAGGGGCTCAGCCTCTGCTCACCTCCCCAGCCAAGGCCTGGGTGCCACCTTCCACCTCTAGGTCAGCAGGGGTCTCTGAGAGTCAAAGGATATCCTTGGTGCAAATTTCAGGTGGTAGGAGCCCTGAGTTCTGTTCTGGCTTTGTGGCTTTGGGCGCTTCACCCATTGGGCTCCTCACAGGGATTTGCTAGTCCAGTTGCTGAGTTCCTTCTCAGCTCTAGCAACCTTTGCTCAAGGAATTGAATGTGGAAAGTAGGAGCTGGTGAGGATAAAGGGGCTGTGAAGCTAGGACTGTGCCAGTTCTAGTGTCCTGTGACAGTCCCTAAGCCACAGAACTCCAAGCAGCTGCAGAGACCAGTTTGTAAACTAGCAGTCTGCAAGGCCACCCTCACTTCTGGTGTTCTGATTCCAGCAGCCTTCTGGAAGGGGAGGCATGTTCAGTGTGTGCATGGAGGAGAGGCAGCATCTCAGCAGCCTAAGCTCAGAATCCAGGGATAGAGGAGGATAGAGGCTGCTCCCCAGAGCCATGCTCAGGTGGCCCCGCACTGATGCCTGAAGGTCCTGGGCTCTTACCCAAGAAGGCTGACCTTCATAATTCCAAAGCCCACTCCCCTTGGCAGCTCTCCCTTGTCTACTCAGGAATGGAGCATATCCTTGCACTACAGAGGGCATCCTTTGGGTCAGGGTATCAGGGAGTGGAACCAGGTCCAAGAGCAGTAATCAAGACGTTGGAAGTGTGGCAGGTGGTCAATGGGTGATTGACTCCTCTGCCCGTAAACACTCCGTAACCTCTTTAGAGACCTCCCTTCCCTTCAAACTTCTCCATGGAGCCACCAGCCCTCTCCCAACCTGATCCAGGAAATGCTAAACCACAGAATTGAACCCATGAACCAGAAAAAAAGGGTGTGCCAGAATATCTGTCCCCATTTCCTCCTCACCTGAACAAATGGTTTTAGGAAGCAGAAGGAGAAAGCACCTCACTGCTCCTCATTTTCTCTATCAGGTTTGACATCTTGGACCAGGAGATGAAGACTTTGAAGGGTCAGATCGAAAGCGTGAACCTTGCTGCCAACAGCTTGGTGGAGAGTGGCCACCCACGCAGCGGGGAAGTGCGGCAGTACCAGGACCACCTGAACACCAGGTCAGGTGTGGTGGGACTTGGGCTGGGGGTACCTGAAGTATCCCTTGTGGCTATGCAGTGCCACATTAGTACCTTCAGTGCCCCTGTCTTTCTCAGCCACAGTCTTATACCTAGACCTGGGGCTGTGCAGCTAGGAGGAAAATCTGTGGTGAGCAGCAGGGTGAGCAACCAGGAGGAGAGCCGCGGTCACTGAGCTTTGATGGCTGCACATGGATAGAAGGGGTTATAGACACTTGCGCTGGAAGGGACTTCTGAGTCCATTTAGATCAGCTGTATGGTACTCATGCCATATTTCCCTGGACATGCTTGGGCAGGGAAAATTGCTTTCTGAGAGCTCTTAAGTACTGTCCATAAAAGAATGCTCCCGCCTGTGCCAAAATGCAGCATCGATAATAAGGTTGGCTTGAATGAAGAAGAGAATTAGCAGGGAGCCTCGAGCAAGCTTCATGGTTGGAACAAAAAACAGGCCCCAAGGAGCCTTTAGAGAGGGGGTGCTTTCAGTGCAGGATGTAATTGCTCATTAGTTCTCGAAGGATCTCTAAGGACAGAGCAAATGCCTGCAGTCTCTGTTTTTACCCTAGGCTCTGCACACACACTGCCATGTGTTCTACACTTAGGCTTGAGCCTCACTCTGCCTGGGGTAATCTGGAAGATGGGCTTAGGGAAGACCTTGTTGTAAAGAAATGGACCTGCGCAGTGGAGACTCCACTGAGGGCCTAAGGGAAAGCAGGCAGGAGTGAGATAGATACTTTGGGGCTACTAGAATGGGGTTGATTGTCTCAGCCCTCAAGGATGGAGACTGTAGTTCAGAAGATCCCTTTATAAGTCTGGTGTTTATGCAGAGCAGGGAGACACCTCTTCACTCTTCTTTAAGCTTGTTAGGTTGTGTGTGAGAGAAAGGCAGTGGGAGTGATTGAAAGATTGAAAGACTGAGAGATTATTGTAGTTGCTGCTTAACTGAGGAAATTAGAGCCGTCTAAATCAGAGGAACTTCCAGATAGGAAGAACTTGTCAGCTGCACAGTGAACTGAAGCCAGAGACTCTTGATCTTTACAGACCCCTGATGCATGCCTCATCCCAAGTGAAAAATATTAAAGTGCCTGCCATTCTTAGATGAGGGAAAATCTGAGGCTTTAATAACGGTAAGATGGTTCTGCATTGAGTCTGAGAGTTGAAAAGGCTCAAGAAGTCATCTGGTCTACCAGGCATGGGAAGCCCACCCTCTCACAATGCAACTCACCCTCTTTTGGGCAACTTCTTTTGGTTAGAATGCCTGATTCCATGTTGAGTGGAAATTGCCTCCTGGAACTTGTACGTGTGGCTTTTGTTCACTCTGATACTTAGAGATGTTAAAATTTATTCTGATTCATCTTCCATGTGTAGCTCTTCAAATAGTTTTCAAAACAACTATTCTACTCCTCCACCCCAGTCCTACTTCCCTGCATCTGCTCTTCTCTGCCACTGCGCTTGTCCTCTGGTCCCTATCCTGTCTGTCCTTTAGGCCAGTGCAAGTTCATCTCCTTCCCATTTTCCCAGATGAAAAATGATCTTTCCCTCCTTTGCACTGGTTTCAAGCTTCACATCCTGCGTTGAATTATAATTACAGTCACACATCACTTAACACAGGAATACACTCTGAGAAATGAGTCATTAGGCAATTTCATCATCATGTGACCATTGTAGATAGAGTGTACTTATGTAAACTTAAATGGTCTAGCCCACAACACACCTGTGCTCTAAGGGTGTGTGTGTATGTGTGTGTGTTACAGTCTGTTGTTCCTAGAGCCACAATGCACAAAACAACATGAGATTAAATCAAGCACAAGAAAAAATTATGCAATCGAGACACGGTAAACATGAAATATTTGAGGCTGCTGGCTGACACAGCACACTGTTTCATAATAAACTTTTACAAGCAGAAGGAGCACACTCTAAAATAACATTCAGGAGTAGGTATAGTTAATATGTAGACCAGTAACATAGAACCAAGGAAGTAGCTCAATGGTACAGCCCTGGCCTAGCACGTGCAAGGCCCTGGGTTCAATACCTGGCACCACAAAAAAATACCACTGAGTAACAGTCATTTATTATTGTTATCAAGTATTATGTACTGTATGTAATTGTGTGTGCTAGACTTTATACAACCGGCAATGCAGTAGGCCTTACACCAGCATCACCACAACCAGGTAGGTAACATGCTGCACTGTGACTTTTCTACAACTGCAACATATTTCTTAAGTGGTAGGCATCACAAATGAAATATCGTTATATGTGCAGGACTGTATGTATGTGTGAGCTGAAGGACTTGCCTACTTTTCCTATAGGCAAACAAAGGGCTTTATCTCTACCTATGCCCACCATGTTTTGCATAACAACCACATTCTGGTCTTAGGTTCACTCTGTTTGGAATATTCTTTTCCCAGATATCCACTTGGCCTGCTTTCCTACATTCTTGAGGCCTCGGCTCCATGTCAGCTTACTGGAAGAGCCCTCCCTGACCACCCCATGAAAGAAGCACACTGTCCTCACCAGTCCTCTCTGCCTCTGTACCATAATCTGGCTTTATTTTTTTTTCTTTGCATGTTATCACTCTTGGTGATTACAGATGCATGTATTCATCCCTGCCCACTTGAGTGAAAACAAGATTTTCTGTTCTTTGCCATATTCCCAGTGCCCAGGTCAGTGTACTACACACAGCATGTGAAAGTTGTGTGACAGATGCTTAGTGAATGAGTGAACAGGGACAAAGCTGAAATATTTCTGCCTACTTGGCACATATGAGTCATTCAAATGCTCATCGAATGTGTGATCATCTTCACTCTGCATTCTAGTTAACCAAGATTTTTCTAAAAAATCTTGGGCCCAGGACCAACACTGGGTTCCCAGTGTTGCCTGATGCCAGTAAATAGAGTGGATATACCAACTTCCTCCTTGGAGATGGTGCTATGTAAGAGGAAAGTGTGGATTGGGAGGAAGACTAGACCCAACCCCAGCTTCTCTCCTTATGGGGGCTTCACTTGGTGGCTGCATGGAGGCCACACAGGAAAGGCCTGGACAATCACGTTGGGACCTCTTGCCCAGGGGCACAGCCAGACCCTCTTGCAGGGGCATTTCACTGTCAATTCAGAATGATTTTACACCAACTTGGAGAAAGCCTTCAGCTTCTTTCCCCTGGCTTCCCACCCTCAGAGGAGCGTCTGTGTGCCAGGCACAGAATCCCCTTAGAGCACAGGGACCTCATCATCTAGGAGGAGAGCTGAGAAGTCCTCAGGTCTTGCTTTTCTCTCTCATGGTCTTCCCAATCCCTTCCCATGGGAAAGCCTTCTTTCTGCAGACCTGTCTTTCAGAGCAGACTATCCACTGTTGTCTACTTTGGGAATGACACAGTGCCTTCCACCTGGCCTGTCTACCTAGGCCCTCCACTTCCAACACCTGGGTGCTGGGATACAAAGATGAAAGAGAGTCTCAGGATCCTCCTCCTCCTCCTCTTCTTCTTCAAATATTTTTAGTTGTAGATGGACACAATACTTTTATATTTATTTTTATTTTTATGTGGTGCTGAGGATCGAACCCAGTGCCTCACATATGCTAGGTGAGCGCTCCACCTCTGAGCCCCAGCCCCAGCCCCTCAGGGTCCTCTTCTTAAATAGCTCACCTCAGTGGAGGCACAGCTCAGGTGGCGTCTGTGAAATCTGTCCTCATCTCCTCATCACTCCTTACAGCTCCCTTCATCCTCTCTGCCTTACTTGTGCCATGTACACGGTCCTTTATACAATAGATATTTTGTGAGCTTGGCTTATTTTTTTCTCTAAGTCATATACTCCATAGTTCAAGATCTGGTTTTGTCAGTATTCTTCCAAAGTCTAATCTAATGCTTCATTCCCTTGTGGGTAATAGAAGAGAGATGGGTTCAATTGGTGCATGAGCAGTGCACATCCTCTCATGTACTTATATATTATAATGGTGCAGAATGAGAAAGCCTGGGCCAGGGAGGTACCTCTAGTAATCTGGCCTAGCTGATAGGCAACTCTTTTTTTTTGTACTGGGGATTGAACCCAGGGGTGTTTAACCACTGAGCCACATCTCCAGCCCTTTTTATATTTTATTTAGTGACAGGGTCTCACTGAGTTGCTTAGGGCCTCACTAAATTGCTAAGGCTGACTTTGAACTCATGATCTTCCAGCAGAAAGCCTCCTGAGCTTCTGGGATGATGGGTGTGTGCCACCGTGCCTGGCTTGATGGGTAACTCTTTAAAAGAGGCTTATGTGCTGTGGAGCAACCCAGGTCCTTGGTATATTTCCCTGTTTCATAGCAACACTGCACTTGATGGTTAAGATAATGTTACCTATTTTAATTAAGATCCCAGCCAAAGTCTTCCTCCCTCTCCTCTTTCTCTTCTTCCTCTTCCTCCTGCTCTTTTTCACCAGGCCTCTTTTCTTTTAGGCTCTAGGGAATTTTTAACATGTCTGGGCAGGGCAGGGTTTCTCTGGCACTCTTATGTCCTAAAGTATCCTTGAAGTTAATCAAGTGAGCTTTCTAATTATTTTCAACATTTCTAAAACTCTGGGGAAGTTGTATACAGATGCTTCGTGACTTATGATGGAGTTACAGCCTGAAAAGTCTGTTGTAAACTGAAAATATTTTAAGTAGACAATGCATTTTGGCCAGGCACAGTGGCACTACTCCCAGCTACTTGGGAACCTAAAGTAAGAGGATTCCTTGAGACCATCCTGGGCAACATAATGAGACCCTGCCTCAAAAAAGAAAAAAAAATGCATTTTCTCTGCCTAACCTACCAAACATCCTAGTTTAGAACACAGAACACCAGAAAGCATCCATTATTTACCCTCATGGTCTCATGGTTGACTGGAACAGCAGCCCACTGCCCCTGCCCAGTATCTCCAGGGAATATTGTAATTTTTATCAATAGCCCAGGAAAAGATCAAAATTCAAAGTATGGTTTCTACTGAATGCCTGTTGCTTCTGCACCACTGAGAAGCTGAACTTTGTGTATGCCCAAAGTCCAGCTACACGTGCGACCTCGACTTGCAAGTTCCCTTACCTGTGGTTGGGAATCACATCACTGCTTGCCCCTTGCTGATCAGAGATCTGATTGTTGGTTAGATATCTCTTGAGTAAAATTAGACAAATGAATTTTGCTCATCCAGTTTGTTAGGTAGATACTTTTTGTTTTTCAGCATACAAGGTCTATGGTGGGGACTGGGTGGAAATCTGGGAAGGGATACTCTCTAGGAAGAGTTAAGGAACAAGGTATCTCTTTCCTCTGGGGTCTCATCCCACTCTGGCAGGTGGCAGGAATTCCAGAACATGGTGTCAGAGCGGCGGGAGGCGGTGGACTCAGCCCTCAGGGTGCACAACTACTGCGTGGACTGTGAGGAGACCGGCAAGTGGATATCAGACAAGACGAGTGTTGTGGAATCTACAAAGGACCTGGGGCGGGACCTGGCAGGTGTCATTGCCATCCAGAGAAAGCTGACAGGACTGGAGCGTGATGTGGCCGCAATCCAGGCCCGCGTGGGTGCCCTAGAGCGTGAGTCTCAGCGGCTGATGGAGTCACACCCCGAACTGAAGGAGGACATTGGGTCGCGGCAGGCATATGTTGAGGAGCTGTGGAAGGGCCTGCAGGAAGCCCTGAAGGGCCAGGAGGCCTCGCTGGGTGAAGCCAGTCAGCTGCAGACCTTCCTGCAGGATCTAGATGACTTCCAGACCTGGCTGTCCTTGGCCCAGAAGGCTGTGGCTTCTGAGGACATGCCTGAGTCATTCCCAGAGGCTGAGCAGCTCCTGCAGCAGCATAAATCCATCAAGGATGAGATTGACGGGCACGAAGAAAGCTTCAAGAAGGTGAAGGCTTCCGGAGAGAAGGTGATCCAAGGCCAGACAGACCCAGAGTACGTGCTTCTAGGCCAGCGACTGGAGGGTCTGGATATGGGCTGGGACGCCCTGTGCCGGATGTGGGAGAGCCGCGGCCGTTCCCTCGAACAGTGCCTCGGCTTTCAGGAGTTCCAGAAAGATGCCAAGCAGGCCGAAGCCATCCTCAGCAGCCAGGTAGAGGGGCATGCAGGGCTGGGGCTCTCTTGGGGCAACGTCACTGGTGGTGAGACTTCAAATGAGCCGTAGAACTTTGGGGCCAAATGATGCTTTCCTTGGGCTCTTCATACTGACTAACTGGGGTGGGGATGGGGTCTCTTTCTTCTTCCTCATGTGCCTTTTCCAGCCTTGAGTCCCAGACTGTCTTGTTCTCGGGTCAGTCAGAAGTTACAGAAGTGAATCTTGCCCTGGTTGGCTCCCTTTCCGTGTGACTTTAGACACACCGTTCACTGGGTACCCTGGGTACTCTTTGCCCCAGCATAGAGTCTTCTTTTTGCCCAATTCTAAGGGATGCCATTCACACCTCAGCCTCTGCGACTGCATGTGGTGTTACTGCTTGGCAGGAGCCCTCACCACCTCCTCAGCTAGTCCTCATGCCTTGTCTGGAAACTTCCTTCACAGGAATACACTCTGACTCACACGGAGCCCCCAGACTCCCTAGAAGGTGCAGAGGCTGGGATCCGCAAGTTCGAGGATTTCTTGGTGTCTATGGACAGCAACCGGGAAAAGGTCTTGAGTCCCGTGGACTCTGGAAACAAGCTGGTAGCTGAAGGAAACCTGTACTCTGACAAGATCAAGGAGAAGGTGCAGCTGATTGAAGAAAGGTATTCTCTGCTTCGAGCTACCTAGACTACCCAGGGGTTTGGGGTGTTGGGCAAGGGCCCAGATTCAGCGTTATGGTGATGGGTTTTGGCTTCCCTTCTAGACACCAGAACAACAATGAGAATGCCCAGAAGCTCTCGGTTCTTCTGAGAGACAACCTAGAGCTACAGAACTTCCTCCAGAACTGCCAGGAGGTGAGGCCATCAGGCAGGGCTCGCTTTCCAGGAGATTGCTGTCTGGGAGCAAAGTGACCTAGAGGTGGGAGGTCACAGGAATTCTTTCTCACCTAGGAGTGGTAGGATTTCACGAATGGAGAACTGAGGGTCCTCAGCAGCCTAGGTCATCCTCTTAATCTTCAATTCCACATCCTTCCTTCCCCCCACCTCCCAACCAATCCAAAAAGTCATCCTTTGATTGGCCAGATTTAGGATAGGGATTCTCAAGGAGTAGTCTGAGAATTCTCTATATTGGAATCACCCAAGGGCCTGAACAGGACTGGCTTCAAGAGCGTGTAACCCTGTGCTTGGTAATGTCCTGCTGTTGCCATCTGAAAACTTGTGATACCTTTGAACATCTTTATTTTGCTCTGGGCCTTACAAATTGTGGAGCCAGTCTTGGCCCTTGTTAAAGCAGACTCCTGGGCCCCACCTGGGCATTGTTAAGTCAGGACCTTAAGGAACAGGGGAGAGAAGGATGCATCTGAAACAAATCTCCCAGTCGGAAAACTGCTGGCTCAGAAGGTCCTTGCTCATCTGGGACTCACTCTATAAGGAAAGACTTTAATCTGCCCTCCCAAGTCCTTCCATTGACAGGAATTCCTTTGTCATGGGGCTTTCCCTGACTTCCTCCCTACAATCCCCTTTCTTCCTAGTCCAGACAATTTTGTATTCATCTCCCTCTGCCCTTGGCACAAGACAAGCTTGGTATGGTGCCAGGACATCTTGGAAGCATTGAATGCTCATCACAGTTCTTCCTTTCTTTTTAATTATAGGATCTGTCCCTGGCCTCTCCCTCACATACCATTTTCTCTCTGTTTATTAATGATTTCTCAACCTACTGCCAAGGAGGGATTTTATCCATCCATTCAGTAAAAACTTACTGAGCTCCTATAATATACCAGACCCTGTGCTAGATCCTGGAAATAGGGAGAGAAGAATAAATAATCCCTGGTCTCACATCACATACTCTCTAGTGAGGAAAATATATCTATGGCCACATTATAGCCTAGGGATCCAGAGTTAAGAGATTAGTTCTCTTCTGTGCTCATGCTTCCTCCCCTGGATCTCTTTCTGGTCAAAAATGTACAGTCAGGGAATGTTGGCAGTTGGCAATGACAACCCGCCATCAGACCATCAGACTGTTTCTGCCCACAGCTTACTCTCTGGATCAATGACAAATTGCTGACTACCCCGGATATCTCCTACGATGAAGCTCGCAATCTTCACAACAAATGGCTGAAGCACCAGGCATTTCTAGCAGAGCTGGAGTCCCACCAAGGGTGGCTTGAGAACATTGATGCAGTAAGTAGAATGAGTGGGTGGTGGGAAACTCTCTGCTCAGATATTGTTTTGGTCAGCATTTTTGTTGCTGGGACCAAAACAATTTAAAAAAACCTAACAAGAACAATTTTAGAGGAGGAAAAGTTTATTTGGTGCTCATGGCTCCATTGCTCTGGGCCCAAGATGAGGCAGGACTTCATGGCCGAAAAGTGGGGTGGAGGAAAGCAGGTCAAGACATGGCCACCAAGAAGCAGAGAGAGGTTTCGACTCAACAAGGACAAAATATAGATCCTAAAGGCAAGCCCCAGGAACCCACCTCCACCAGCCATACCCTACCTCCTACAGGGGATTGATGCACTGATTAGATTAAAACTCTCATAACCCTATCATTTCTCCTCTAAACTTTCTTGCATTATCTCACACATGAGCTTTTGGGGGACACTAAATATCTCAACCATAACAGATATATGCATGAGAATAGGGCTTCACCCACAACAAAGACACTGTCCTGAAGCTTGCTGGACAGTATAGAATTTGGCAGTGAAAAAAACTTTTCTAAATAGTTGTTCAATCTTCAGAGATCCCGATTCAACAAGTCTTTTTTAAAAAAATTTTTTTAGTTGTAGATGGACACAATATCTTTTTTATTTTATTTTATTTTATTTTTACGTGGTGCTTAGGATCAAACCCAGTGCCTCAAACATGCCAGGCAAGCACTCTACTATTGAGCCACAACCCCAGCCCCAGCAAGTCTTATTAAGTCTGGTCATAACTGGTGCCTCTTCTGGATCCCCTGATTTGAGACAGTCCAGGGCAGTGAAGACACCCAGTTGGAGCTTTCAACATCCGTGCTAGGACAGTAGATGTTTCTGTTTGCCTTTTATTATCCTTACCAGGACTCCAGTACTGTCCTGACACGGTCAGGGGAATACATGAAATGACCAGAGTCATCCAAGGAAGCTATTAACCCTCATTGTTTGGATGGGCAAAATTACCAGGAAGCAATCATTCATAGCCCTCATAGTCCTCTGGATAGAGGACTGCTCTCTAATGAGCTTGCCCAGTAACAGGGGTTAGATCTGGGAATCATGTCCCTGTGCTCAGCCTGCTGTTTCTGTCCAGGAAGAAGCAGGCCTAGGGTCCACACAAAGCCATGCTGTGCAACAGTTAATGGTGCAGCCTCTGGAGCCAGATAATTTGGCTCCCTTGCCTCCCTGAGCCTCAGATTCACCTCTGAAATAAGGATAATAATAGCACATAAGCAATGGAGTTGAGTGCTGAATACTTAAGGACAAGTAACGAACTCAAGATAGTATTTGGCAATTGTAAGACTTGATAAGCCAGGTGTAGTGGCGCATGCCTGTAATCCCAGTGACTCAGGAGGCAGAGACAGGAGGATTGTAAGTTCAAGGCCAACATCAGCAATTTAGCAAGGTCCTGTAATCAAAATAAAAGGGTTGGGGATGTAGCTCAGTAGTTTTCAGTACCAAAACAAATAAATAAATTCAGGAATAAAATAAAAATAAAAGATTCTCCATAAACATTGACTACTGTTGGCTGTATATGCCTCTAGGCTTAAGTCCTATCGCATGATATGCACCCCATAAAAATACTCTTAGACAGGCAAAAACCAGATAAGGCAACCTCAATAATTAAACGTATCACCAAAGGTTAACGTCAACCTCTGGAACCCCAAGTAAGGTTTCTGGGATGCTTGAACCTGGATAGATCACGAATCTTTTGTGTTTTCAGTACCAGCTGACCCCTATCTCCAGCCCGCCGTACAGTGGTCTCCCTGAATTGTTTACCCTCAATGATTCTAGGGGCTCAGATCCGTTTCAGTGGAACCTTACCAAATCAAGTTCTGTGCTGATTCTTTGCCTTACTGACCTCCACTCCAAAAGCCCCTTGCAACAGCCTGGAATGGGACTGCTCAGAGGCCACCGAAGCCTCAGAGGGTGAGCTATCTCCATTCCCCCACAGGAAGGAAGGCAGCTGAAGGAGGAGAAGCCCCAATTTGAAGCCGTGGTGTCCCAGAGGCTGGACACACTGCACCGGCTCTGGGATGAGCTGCAAGCCACCACCAAGGAGAAGACCCTACAACTCTCTGCCGCCAGGAGCTCCGACCTGCGCTTGCAGACCCACGCCGACCTCAACAAATGGATCAGCGCCATGGAGGACCAGCTTCGGTCGGATGACCCGGGCAAGGACCTGACCAGTGTCAACCGGATGTTGGCTAAGTTGAAGGCACGTGAGCAGGCTGTAGACTGAAACTGTTAGACTACGAAAGATCTTGGGGAGGAAACCTGAAACCATAAAGCAAGTGCCTTTGTTCCTCCTGGTGGACTTGCTTTTATCATGTGAAAATGTCTTATGATTCACAATCCATCCCCTAACCCCTTTGGCAGTACGCTCCAATAAAAGGATGCATAAGAAATATGGGGCAGGTACTCAGAGGAGGGAAGGATGAGTGAGGGCAGCCAGGGAGACTTCTTAGAGGAGGCTGAGCTCAAGCTGGGGCTAACAGGATAGGCGGGGGATAGATGGGTGGAGAGCCACGAGGGACTGCCCAGGTGCTGAGGCCAGTGCTGTGCTATCCCATTGTGTCTCAGAGAGTGGAGGACCAGGTGAATGTGCGGAAGGAGGAGCTGCAGGAGCTGTTTGGCCAGGCACCCTCACTGGGAGAAGAGGCGGGAGACGCTGACCTGAGCATCGAGAAGAGATTCCTGGACCTCCTGGAACCTCTGGGGAAGAGGAGGAAGCAGCTGGAATTATCCAAAGCCAAGCTGCAGATCAGCCGCGACTTAGAGGATGAGACGGTGCGTGGGCTGCAGCCTTTCCACCCCCCAGGGCTGAACCGCCAGCTGCTACCAGGAGTAGCTGGCCACTGCCCACAGCAGTTCTTGGCAGCAGATGACTGCTCATCTCACCCACTTATTTCATAGGGTTGCTGTGATGATTGCATTAATTTGGGAAGCCAAGCCAAGCCAGTGCTTTTTGGATGGTAACTCATTAGTCCCTGGCTGATTTTGATGGTGATGAGCCTGGGATTTAGGTTCAGACAGCCTTGGGTTCAAGATCCAGCCTATGGCTTGCTCACAGTCTGGCCAGGAACAAGTTCTTTGGAACCTCAGTTCAAAATATCAGAACATCCCTATCTATAAAATAGTGGGTGGGGGACCCTAATGGGTGTTGGGAGGAACCAGGGAGACTGCTGACAATGCACTCTCAGGCCCTTGATGGTTACTTGGGAGAAAGTGGCTGTGTTTGTCATCAGCTATCCCCCCGCCTTTTGTCTCTGCAGCTTTGGGTGGAGGAGAGGCTGCCACTGGCCCAGTCAGCCGACTATGGCACTAACCTGCAAACAGTGCAGCTGTTCATGAAGAAGAATCAGGTAAGTCCTGTCTCACCTGGTCAGTGCACCTGCCTCTCCCTGCCCCTACCTGGCTGGGGTATAGCCCAACCCTTATCTGCAGAAGGTCAGCCATAGCAGATTATTGCTCCTGTTAGGGACTTGGGGATCCGTAAACTGTATTTGAAGTCTCACTGCAAAAAGAGCAGAGAGAACTCTGGGAGGATCCCAGAAGAAGGAGAAATCATGATACTTGGGGATTTGGGGCCATTCAGTCTCCATCAGGCTCGGGTGGGTGCAGGACCCTGGAGCCCCTGGCCTGGACTTAATGTGTTTTCACAGTCCTGAATTCAGTGGCTTCCCCAAGAGAAGCTGATAACTCCTGGGTTTTCTGCCCTAACACTGCCTTGTTCTCTTTGAGGGCTGAGCTTGGAAAGTGTGCTGTCATCAAGGAACATAGGCCCCACTTCTCCAGTGGGCTCAAACCCCATGAGAAAGCTGCTGAACTTGGACTTAGAGTCCTAGAAGCAAACATCCAACTGCTGTTCAGCTCTCTTAGGCCAGACTGGGCCCTGGTCACAATTCTGGACATAGCAGATGCCAAATACTTCCTCTGTGTCAGAGCAGCAGAGGGAACCTGAATCTTCAAGGAAGCCAGCTGGGTGGGGTCACAGTGGCTTCATGTCTGGTCAGGAGCTGGCCTCAGTCCCTTCTCTTGGGCAGAGAGTCCCTTTTCCTGCCTGGTCAGCTCTCTGGATCAACAAGGAGAGCCCAGGAACTTAGATCCCAGAAAAGAGCAATGTGTCCCAGAGTGTCACGTCAGTACTGCAACTCCTTGGGGAAGGAAGGTCATGGCACGGCAAGCACTCCCATCCTCCCAAATAACTGCAGCTGCCATCTGCTCCCAGACCACTGGAGCCCAGCAACTGTGCAAAGGCACGAACTATATTCAGAGAGGTTTCTCCAAAGCTCCCCGGGAACCTTTGTTTCCAGTTGACATGATCTAATCATCAAGGCTCCAGTGGCCACACGCGAGGACTTGCGCTAGGGGATGGTAGAGATTCAGGCTCAGTTGATGCCACAGCCTTCAGTTATAGGAGGAAGGCTGATGGGAGAAAGTGTCCCCTGGACCTCAGTTTCCTCAGTTGTGCAATGAGCCACCTCTAGTCTTTCCAGCACCGAAGACTTTTGAGTCTGTTGAGCCTCAGTAAGTATTAGCACCTAGAGGTTTCCACTCCCCTGGCCGGCAGCTGCTATTTCAGGAAAAGGGCAAGACAAATACAGATGGGGTTGCTCTAACCAAGAAGGGAAGGAAGCTCTTCAGAGAGTGTGGCTGCCCTAGTAAAGACTATTTGGGTCTAGGCTGCTAAAGCACAAGCCCTTGTATCCCTTCCTCCCTGAAAACCCTCCATGGAAGGGGCTCTGACTTCAGTGCCCATTGGCCTGGGGGGCTTGTTCAACACAGTTGCTAGGCTTTACTGGGTGGTGGTGGGGGAGCCCAATGATTTGCATTTCTAGCTAGGCTCCAGTTGCAGCGAGCTGGAGCCCCCACTTTGAGAACCACTGTTCTAGCAGCTGTCCGTTATAGCCAGAACACATCCTGCAAGGTGGCTGCACATTAAAAGTCACTTGGGGAACTTTTAAACGTACAAATGCCACGTCTCACCTCAGATTCATTGATTAGTATCTCTGTGAGTGAGGCCCCGGCTGCACCTGTTTTCCCGGAGTATTCAATGTGCCGCCAGGGTTAAGAGCCGTCACCTCGCCTGGTCTAGTTTCTGCCTACCTCTAAATCACATCACTTGTCCCATTCAGCCCCCTTCACTAGCTCTTCTCTTCCAGCCCTTGTAGCATCACACAGTCCAGGCTCCTTTCCACCCCAGGGCCTTTGCATGGACTCATATCTTGTGCTGGGAACACTCACCCCAAACCTTTGGTTGCCTCCCTCTCACTGTTCATGGCTCCCTCCAAGGTCTTCTCCTCAGAAAGGCTCTTCCTGACTCTCCTAGCCAAAGGAGCCACCACCACAGCCTGGCAGCCCTTCTTCATTCCACTGTGTATTTTCCCCGTAGCACCAAGGGAAGATGGCCCAGACTCCATTTATTTCCATGCTCACATCTGTTTCCTCTGTGAGACTAGGAACTTTAAGAGGGCACAGGTCTTCTTCTTCTCTCCATTTAGTCCCTAGTCCCTAGAACAGGATCTGGTATGTACATAATACCTTAATAAATTGTGGAATGAATGAAAACAGGGAGAAAGACATCATAGATACGTACCCCAGAAAGACTAGAGGGCAATTGCTTAAAAAGAGATAGAAATACCTTTTTAAGGCACCAGGCAGAGGTCATAAGACCTCAGAGAAAGTAAAGAGGCCGACTAGAGCTGGCAACATGGGCTATTTGTATACAATTGCACAGCCCACAGAAAATCCTCAAAAATTAAGATTTTGAATATAAAGTACAAAAACGTATTTCACCAGGTTAGATACCTTGTGGATCTTACTATTCTAGCATTTTTCTTTTCTTTTTTTGCATTTTTTCTTTTTTAAATATTTTTTTAGTTATGGATGGACATGATAACTTTATTTTTATATTGATAAATAAAAATAATAATATTGACAAATGAAAATGGGGAAATGGTGCTGAGGATTGAACTCAGGGCCTCACACGTGCTAGGTAAGTGCTCCACCACTGAGCCACAACCCAAAACCCCATAGTTTAACATTTTTCTTTTTCTTTGTTTCTTTTTTTTTTTTTTTGTACTGGTAATTGAACCCAGGGGTGCTTTATCACTGAGCTATATCCCCAGCAACCCCCACACTTTAAAAAAAATTATTTTGAGACAGAGTATCACTAAGTTACGGATGCAGGTCTAAACTTGCGATTCTCCTGACTCAGCCTCCCAGGCTACTGGGATTACAGGTGTGCATCACTGAGCCCAGTTTCATAAATATTTAAAGTGCTGGCAGTCACCATTCTACCTCTGTGGACTCTCGCTTCTGCCTTCTAGATGGATTTTAAAGGCATGGGGAAATGGCCTTTAAAAGAGAGAGAAGAAACAAGGTGTAAAGAGGCCAAGAATCATATGAGAAGCAGCTAGTGTGACTTCAAGGACCCAGAAAGGATCCTGTATGTGTGTCCGGGCCTCCTGAAGGCAAAGGTGACCCAATCATCAGAGGCAGAGGAAAAGGCCATTTTGGTAACCAAAGGCTCAGAAAGGAAATAATACACTTTTTCACAAAGGTTTGATAAATAAAAATAGGGAAAAACAAAACCAAACCCCAGACTCTACACAGGGACAGCCACCAACTGTCCTTGTATCTGGAGCAAAAGCTGCTAAAAGAAGATGTCAGGTGGCCATTCCAAGATTGCTTTCCTTCCCTCCAGTGTGTACACCTAAGAGATCAAGCTCTGTTGAGCAGAGGCAGGGTGTGGAGCAGTCGAGAGCCCAGGCTTTGGAATTGGGTGGGGCTCTGTTCCCTCCTGGCTCTGCCACCGGCTGCCAGCAAGTTCCTTCATTGCCATGTGCCAGTTCCCAAATGCTACTCTCAGAAAGCTATGAGGGTCGAGGGAGGAGGCACAGGTGTGTTTGGCGTCCTGCTGGCAGGTGGTCACGGGCAGCTTTATTATCATCACCTGCTCTGCTTTAGCAGGTGGCGGAGAGAGGCCCACAGTGCCCTGGTCCTGCAGAAATGGGCTCCCATACCTGGTGGGAGGACTCTGCCCCTGAACCCTTCCTTATGGTCACAGACACTGCAGAACGAGATCCTGGGCCACGCGCCGCGGGTGGAGGACGTGCTGCAGCGGGGACGGCAGCTCGTGGAGACAGCGGAGATGGACCTCCAGGACATCGAGGAACGCCTGGGGCACCTGCAAGACTCGTGGGCGGCTCTGCGGGAGGCGGCGGCTGGGCGGCTGCAGCGCCTGCGGGATGCCCACGAGGCGCAGCAGTACTACCTGGACGCCGGGGAGGCCGAGGCCTGGATCAGCGAGCAGGAGCTCTACGTCTTCTCTGATGAGCCCCCCAAGGTCTTCTGGGCCAGGGGCTGCCAGCTGGGGTGCCCAGATGGACAGGAGCGCTGGAGCGGGCAGTGAGCGGGGTGGAAAGAGTGGGGAGGCGGTGTACAGGGGACCCAGGCAATCTCCCTGCCTGTGGAGAGGGCTGGGCGAAGGGAAGGGTCTCTCAAAGCTGGGTTGAGTTAGGAAGTTTTCATGGGGACAGCAGCTTGGCAGTGGGCCTGTGAGGAAGGGCACAGAGCAGGCGACAGCAGGTGAGCCAGAAAGGCAAAAGGTGGGCAGGAGGGGCAGGCACACGGCTCTCTCCTCACTGGGCACCTCCAAACTCTGTGGCACTGACCTCTGCTGCCTCCTAGGATGAAGAGGGTGCCATCGTGATGCTCAAGCGGCACTTGAGGCAGCAGCGCACCGTGGAGGAGTATGGGAGGAACATGAAGCAGCTAGCCGGCCGGGCCCAGAGCCTGCTGTCCGCGGGACACCCCGAGGGGTGCGTGTGTCTCCTGAAGTGACTCGGCAGGTCATGGGCATCAGGCCAGGAGCCCCACCAACCAAAATCCCTCCAGGTCCAAGAAAGGAAAATCGGAACAGTGTTCCCAAATATAGAAGTTTCTGGACTGTGGATTGGCCCAGTCCCATGTTATGCTTTGGTCTTGCGGGAGGGACTCCAATGTGGGCCACCTGAGGCCTGGTTTGCAAAAAAAAAAAAAAAAAAAAAAAAAAAATCAGAATGGAATAGCAAAACTATGCGTTGGTTGAACTTAAAACTGCAGTCTTTTGAAGAATTAGAATATGCTGTGAGATACTGAAGACTAATTTTGCTTTTCTTTTTGTGGTTCAGAAGGTACTTCCAGACCTCATAAAATCCTCAGCAGAATCCTATGTCAAAGTGAAAGTAGAAAATTACACCTGTCAGAACTGTTGAGTTGCAGGGATTCTGCATAAATTAGAACCCACTGACCAGATTCCTCAGGCTGCCCTAGTTATAGCCCTGTCCTCTGCTGCCTTTAGGGCATCCTCCACTGTATCCTCGCAGCCACACAGCTCCCAGGGAACCCCAAGGACCGAGCCCCTGTAGAGCTAGGCAGGGGAACTGCTGCCGGAGCCCTCTCAGCACTGTCCCATCGGCCTCCTGTGTACCTGAGAGCTTCCCAGAGGGAGGGCTACAGCAGCAAGTGTCACACCAGGACAGAACTCCATGACAGAGTCCTGCCCTCCCCTGAGGCACTGTGGCCAAACGGGTCATTCCTTCTCTCACCAACTCTTCCCCAAGAAAAACCACTATCACTTCCCTTAAGCTTCACTTCCCACCAGTCCGTGCTAGGGATCTAGGGAGGCGTAGGTCAGCTCCTCTGAGTCAGCTGCTCTGGGTTCTTGCTGGCCATCTTTAAGGGATTTCTTGGATTGAATTCCAGGGAACAGATAATCAGACTTCAGGGGCAAGTGGATAAGCAGTATGCAGGGCTGAAGGACATGGCAGAGGAACGCAGGCGGAAGCTGGAGAACATGTACCATCTGTTCCAGCTGAAGAGAGAGGCTGACGACCTGGAACAGTGGATTACAGAAAAGGAGATGGTGGCCTCGTCCCAAGAAATGGGGCAAGACTTTGACCACGTGACTGTGAGTACCACAGCTCCTGCCTTCTCTGCAGTAGACACAGCCAGCCATGGTTCCAGACCCTCACGGTGCTCCTACCACTGCAGGGCATCGCAAAGGGATTCAGTCACACTAGGGTGAAGTGTGGCCAGCGGGCTCAGGCCGCCCTGGGGAAAAACTGAGAGTCAGGGTCAGATGGTCACAGTGGCCACCTAGCAGCATCTGCAGCTGAGAGCATGATGACACCCGTCTGCCCCTGAGCCCCACTAACCCCATTTCTGTCTGCCCCATGTTTAGATGCTTCGGGACAAATTCCGAGACTTTGCCCGGGAGACTGGGGCCATCGGGCAGGAGCGGGTGGACAATGTGAATGCCATCATTGAGCGACTCATCGATGCAGGCCACAGCGAGGCGGCCACCATCGCCGAGTGGAAGGACGGGCTGAATGACATGTGGGCAGACCTGCTGGAGCTCATCGATACCCGCATGCAGCTGCTGGCGGCCTCCTATGACCTGCACCGCTACTTCTACACAGGGGTGGAGATCCTGGGCCTCATCGACGAGAAGCACCGCGAGCTGCCTGAGGATGTGGGGTTGGATGCCAGCACTGCTGAGTCCTTCCACCGGGTGCACACGGCCTTCGAGCGGGAGCTCCACTTGCTGGGAGTGCAGGTACCCACAAGTGCCATCACCCACCTGGCTCCTGGAGGGGAACCTTCTAGAATGGGCACCTGGTGATTTCTCTTCCTTAGAGAACTAACAGCTCAGAACAGGGAGTAGTGGCTTTCAGATGCTCTTTAACTTCAGAAGTACTTTAAACTGAATTCTCACAAAAAAACCAATGCATAAAATACCTTATGCAATATTGTTAGCTAATGCATAGTGCTCTTCTAGCACTGTTCTAAGCGATATATGCAGCACTGGATCCTCATAGCCCCCCTCTGAGGTACTAACACTGTCTGCATTTTGTAGAAGAGGAAAGCAAGGTGCAGAGAGCCAGTTAGTGGCCTGGGAACGTGCAGATACCCAGTGGAGCCAGGACTGAGGCTTTGGTGCTCTGGCCATGGGCCCTACATACATAGTCCCCAGGCAGGCCAATCTTTCCCGTGGGAGCTGGGGCATTCCCAAGATCTGCTTTCTCAACACTCTTAATCACTGGGATATTTGCTGAGGCACCTCTGCAGATCCCTAGGGTTTCCCCAGAGCTTGGTGTGATAGAACAAGACAAAGGTGAGAGACCCCAGCTGCCAAAGGTTCCCCAGGCCTCCACTGGCTATGCAGTCCCAGGCCAGCCCAGTGGGGTTCAGGGATGACACCAAGGTAGGTCGGGCTGGGCCCCTGGTTCACCTGGAAGTAGACCTTTCAGAGATTTATCTGACAGAGAAGGTGGGACCTGGTGTGCAGCCATTGTGCTTGGTGGTACCAGAAACCCTGAGACAGGAGTAGCCACACTGAGGTCTCAGGAATGAGAATTTGTTGTCCCTGAGAATCTGATGCAGCTCCTTCCTGAAGATGTGGTGGTGGTTAAGAACAGGGGCCCAGGAGCACAGCTCTAACCCAGCTGTCCCTTTGACCAGGTAGTATGAGGGAACTTGGGCCATTTACTTGGCCTTGCTATGCCTTAGTTTCCTCATCTCAAAAGCAGGGATAATGAAATTCCCTTTCCATGGGATTGTTGCAAGGATGCAAAGTTAACATAAACTGTCTAGAATGGTGCCTGGTTCACACTTGCTCTCGTTATAGTACCTCTAAGGAGATCAAAGGGTATTGAGTTGCTGTCACTCCCAAATACTCATCAAATTCCTTGGATAGACAGAGGCACCCAAGCAGGGATCCTTCTACAGCATCTGCTGGGCAGAGGATGGAGCCTTCCTATGGTGCTCTGGGGAGGAGACAAGAGACAGATGTCCTTCCAGTGCCAGGCCTGAGATGCCTCTGTTCAAGGAACAATGTCTGGTTTTGCCTGACCACAGGTACAGCAGTTCCAGGATGTGGCTACCCGCCTGCAGACAGCATACGCCGGGGAAAAGGCAGACGCCATCCAGAGCAAGGAACAGGAGGTATCTGCCGCTTGGCAGGCATTGCTCGATGCCTGTGCTGGGCGCCGGACTCAACTCGTGGACACGGCAGACAAGTTCCGCTTCTTCAGCATGGTCCGGGATCTGCTTTCCTGGATGGAGGGTATCATCCGGCAGATCGATACCCAGGAGAGGCCCAGGTAAGGGGGCATCCTCCATGATAGGTGAGGCTGGCAGACAAGGGTGCTGCCCAGGGCTCCTCCTCTCCTAAGGGGCACCTGAGGTGAATTCCTCAGTGGCTCAGGTTCTGGGAGCACTGATCATTTCAGAGTAAAGGGAGAAATTCAGCCTGTCCAGCAGGGACAGTGACCACTGTCAACTCACACTTTCAAAGCTGGACAGGTCCAAGACAGGTCCATGGGACCTTCCCCAGGTTCCAGCATATGGGGCCGTTCTCCTAAAACTCAGGATGGAGCTGATTATCCCTGAAAGGTGGGGTCAGGCTCCTGAGCAGTGAGCACCAGTGAGCTCTGAGCTCTCCGCCCAGTTAGTGTCCATTTAGTAATTATTGACAACTCTCTGTCCCTCTGCCTACAAGACACCCACCTCAGTGACCATACTGTTATCTTTAACATTTTTATTGAGATATAATTCACACACTATACTTCATCCATTTAAAGTGTTCCATTCAGTGATATTTATCTATTCCTAGTTTGTTTTGTTTTGTTTTTGTTACCAGGGATTGAACCCAGGGGTGCTTAACCATTGAGCCACATCTCTAGCCCTTTTTAAAATATATTTTATTTAGAGATAGGATGTTGCTAAATTGCTTAGGGCTTCCCTAAGCTGCTGAGACTGGCTTTGAACTCAAGATCTTCCTGCCTCAGCTTCCTGAGCTGCTGAGATTTTAGGTGTGCGTCACTGTGCTCAGCTATATATTCCTAGTTACACAACTATCAACTACAATCCAGATTTAGATTTTCATCACCCCCCACCACCAAATAAGCTCATCCCCATTAGTAGCCACTCACTTTGCTTCTTGCCCCAGATCCCTGGCAGCCACCACTTTCTATCTCCTTAGATTTGCCCATTCTGAACATTTTTCATAGAAATGGAATCACATAATATATTGTCTTTTGTGAATGGCTTCTTTCACTTAGTCTGTTTACAAGATTCATTCTTGTTGTACCATGAAGCAGTACCTCATTCCTTTTAAAAAAAAAAAAATTTGATGATGAATACAATACCTTTGTTTTATTTCTTTTTCTGTGGTGCTGAGGATCCAACCCAGGGCCTCATACATGCTAGGCAAGTGCTCTACCACTGAGCTACACCTCATTCCTTTCTATTGTTGAATAGTATCCCCTGGCTGCTTCTGGGGACCCATGCCCTGGCCACTAGCCATGGGAAGGCATTAGGACATCAGTGTTCCTGGTGGGGCTGGACTTCCTGGCTGAGCAGAGAGACAGGAGGGAGCTGGCCAGACTCCCTGGAGCAAGTGAGAGGCAGCCCCCCCACTGCCAGAGTGACCCAGAGTTTCCTTCTTCCCCAACTGCCTCCCTGGCCCTGTCCTGCCCCCAGGGATGTGTCCTCCGTGGAACTACTCTTGAAGTATCACCAGGGCATCAAGTCAGAGATCAACACCCGGGCCAAGAACTTCAGCACCTGCCTGGAGCTCGGGGAGTCCCTGCTACAGCGGCAACACCAGGCTTCAGAGGAGGTGAGCCCTTTCGTGTCCTTGTCCCCATATTACTGGCCAGGCAGCTTCTTGGTAGGGCAGTGGGGGAACTTCTGAGGAACTTATCTTTCACTTATGGAGCATCAGGTCTGCCTGTGGGTCAGGAATCAGAGCCACACCCAGCCTATTCTCCATCTTAAGGAGTTGGCCTCTCACTAGAGGAGAGCAGGCTCGCCATCTACCCATCACCCATAGGTGCGCATGCTTAGAAGTCGATGACCCCATCTCATAGGCGAGGCATATTTAGGTATCTCAGTGGGGTTAAGTAACTTGCCCAAGACTGCACAGCTGACAAGTAGCAAGGCCAAGACTTGAAGCCAGGCCTGTGTGATCAAGCCTGACATTCTCTGCGGCCATCTGTGCACTGCTTCAGAGAGAGGGAAGGGTTACCAAAGCCCATGCTTTTCTCCTTTCCTCTCTACAGATCCGGGAAAAACTGAAGCAGGTATTGATCAGGAGGCAGGAGATGAATGATAAATGGGTGACCCGAGATGATCGGCTCCACATGCGTGAGTGAAATGCAGGGCCTGGGGACCTGGGGGCAGGGCCTCACCCCTACTGGAGCAGAGGAAGGGAGGGTGATGCTGTAATAGGGTGGCTTCGGGCTTCTGGTGACAGGGGACCAGGCAGAAAATCAAGCAGACTTGCTCTGGAAGCCTCCCTCCAGCAACCAGGTGCCCCACTCCCAGTCTACCCCGTGCTGGGCTGCTGTGTCTGCTGAGCTGAGGCTGGGGAGGTGCAGGGCGGCGCTCCCCTGTGCGTTGGGTATTTGCTCTAAGGAGCATCAGTCAGGGACTCCTTCCTCCAGTGGCTGGAGGCTGAGGAGAGGTGCAGAAACTCTCACCTCTCGGGTAGGAGCTGTGAGCCAAAAAGGCCTGGTCTGGTCGGTGTGGCTCTTCATCCACAATGATGAGAGACAAAGGCCAGCAAGAGAATTAGGGCAGAAGACTGTTCCTCAAAGAGAGGCATCTAAACTGCATTTGGCTTCCAAAACAGTTTGTTTCAATTAATGTGTTTTAAAAATATGGCTATTAGGCTGGGTGCAGTGGTGCACCCCTATAATCCCAGCAGCTCAGGAGGCTGAGGTAGGAGGATCACAAGTTCAAAGCCAGCCTTAGCAACTTAGCAAGGCTCTAAGCAACTCAGTGAGACCCTGTTTCTAAATAAAATACAAAATAGGGGATGTAGCTCAATGGTTGAGTGCCCCTGAGTTCAATCCCCGTATATATATATATTTATATTTGTCGATGGAGACACGGGGTAGGACCCCAGAGTGAGCATGGAGTGGTCTTGAGCAGGATTCAGAACTGAGCAAAATATTCATGGAGTTTAGGGACCCCTGTGGCCCTTGTACCTGGCCACTGGCCACCTAGGTCCCTGCAGGAATGGACTGTTGAATGCTGACAGGCCCCCGGCCTTGCGGGTGGGTCTTTGGCTTGTTCTTGTGGCAGTGCTGGAGGTGTGCCAGTTCTCGAGGGATGCCTCTGTGGCCGAAGCATGGCTCATTGCCCAGGAGCCCTACCTGGCCAGCCGGGACTTTGGCCACACTGTGGACAGCGTAGAGAAGCTGATCAAGAGGCATGAGGCTTTTGAGAAGTCCACAGCCACCTGGGCAGAGCGCTTTGCTGCTCTGGAGAAGCCCACCACGGTGAGCTGGGACAGGCTGGAAGGCTGGGGAGGGCAGCAGCCTTGCCTTGTGGGCGGGGGTGTCCCAGAACTCTGGCCAGGTGTCAGGTGTAAGAGTGGGGGCAGGTGGAGAGGAAAGCTAGGCAGCAGACCGTACTCACCTTTGAATGCCAGAGATGAAAAGGGGCGTCTGGGACAGAGAGGGGCAAACCCCAGGGTGTGCTGGGGCGCAGGGCCCTGACTAGAGAGAGGTCACCTGAGAACCCAGCTCTGCTTGTGGCTACTCTGATCTTCCCCCTTTCCTTCCCCAGCTTGAGCTTAAAGAACGCCAGACCCCAGACAGACCTGCAGAGGAGCCCGGGTGAGTGGTGGCTGTGTGTCTGAGGAGCAGCGCTCTGTGAGAGGGGTGGGTAGGAAGGAGGAGGAAGAGTTTTTGATGGCAGCTGGGCATCTGAACCAGACACGCTTGACCCCGCAATCCTGGGCACCTTGTCAGTGAAACCCAGAGTGCATGGAGCTTGAAGCCACAATGTTCTGCTGCCCTCATCACAGGTGACCCAAAGCCCTGCACAGGAAGGAAGGGGAGGCCAGCAGTGGCTGCCACTGAGATAGGGCTTTCCCTCAGGGAGCCAGCCCCCCAACATCGCCCCCAGGGCTGTCTAACGTGGAACTTGTCCATTTCTGAAGCATGTGCTTCACTTTTCCTATCTATCAAGCCTCTGGGTGACTCCTTTCTGAGCACCTGGGGCTGATGGAAGTCTGGTGGGATGATGAGTGGCACACATGCCACATGTGCGCAGAGCGGACCGAAGCCAGGCCTCGGGGGGAGGCGCCGGCCTCAGTGAGGTACTTGTCATTAAAGAGAAGCTGTGTCTTCCTTAGGCCTCAAGAGGAGGAAGGCGAGACAGCAGGGGAGGCTCCCCGAGTCCCCCACCGTGCGGCGACTGAGAGAACATCCCCGGTCAGTTTCATGTCCCATTTGTCTAGTTCCTGGGAGTCGTTGCTGCCAGAGCCTCCTCATCCCTACTAGGCTCCTCCAGGGCAGAGGGCGAGAATGGGGCATGTGCCACTCTGCTCCCCAGGCCCTCCTCCTGCCCCTGTGTCCCCAGAAGCCTCATTCCCATCAAGTCTACTTTTACACTTAGGTTTTCTTAATTCTTAGGGTAATTCCCCTCCTCCTCCCAACCCAGAGGAAACTGACAGCCAGCCACTGACATGACTCTATTAGTTTGGTTTTATCTAATATAATAAATTTTATTACATAAACTTATCACCATCTACATCTGGAGAAGCACTTTATACAGGGAGGATTCACTTTGTACACTTTCCTTTTTCCCATTCTCCTGACTCCATACAACAAACACACACACACACACATACACATACACACACACACACCTGAGACATGAACCAGTAGACATCCCGTTCTGCCTGCCCCCCCCCCCCCGCAGGCATTTGGGCAATGAAGTGGGGAGACCCACCCTTCCAGCAGATTCCTCCCTCTCATGCAGAGCTCTCTCCCTCTTTCTACTGACCTGGACCAGTGAGTTTGGATGTGGAGCTGGTTCTGAGGCAGATAGACTAGAAGGGTCCTGCAGGAGTGAGGGAGAATCCCAGGGCTTTGGGTATCAGGGGGACTAGCCCCAAAATTTGTAGAAAAGGAGGGTGTGATGGAGGCCTGGCTGGGGGAGGGGCTGGAAGGGCCCAACAGGGCCACTTTGGGGAGCAATGGGCTGAGAAGAGAGCAACAATGAGCATGAAACTTGCATGGCTTTTCTACTCTCATGGCATGTGGCTCTGGGGGTCAAGGGAGCAACAGATCCTTCAAGTGCCCAGGTGAGCTTGCCTGATTTCTGAGTGGGGATTAAGAAAGATTAGTATTCTTGGTGAAAATTTCTGGTACATGAACCACCCCAGAAGAATACACATACAACTTGTCGAACAAGCACAAGGACCTAGAAGGAGGTGGGGAGAAGAAAAAAAGAAAAGAAAAATACATATAGTAATTCCTCCCTATGCAGAATCTCTGTTAGGCTCGGATCTGAGCACCCTGCCTCCCCCAATCTCTCTCACTCACTAACACACACAAACACACACATCTCCCTCTGCCTCCCTTCTAAGCTGTACCAGCCCATCATGCCCAGCAGAGGGCACTGCTGGGCTCTGCTGGAGGGCCTCTCTCGGGAGTCCCCTCTGAAGTGCCCAACATCTCTGTGGCCGACCATGTTCCAGCCCCCTTTCCTAGCACCAGCCCCCATCGGAGGGAGAGAAAACTCTGGGGGCTGAAGTGGACTGTGGACACAGGCTGGGACTGTCCCTGCCTCCTGCTCCCACCTGCGCTTCTGCCCTGCATCCCTGTGTGTCTGCATGCCATGGTGTCCTGGTGTGCGGGCTCCTTCGTGACCACCTGAGCAATTCCACCATTGTCTGTGTCATATATGTTTGTGCAAATATAATTACATGTGCATCAGAGCCTTCTCCATCCAGCACCTGAATGTCACTGGGTTGGGGGGAATAAAACTTGCTTGGACCTGAGTGTCTCTTTGGGGGAAGATGAGTGAGCCCACATCTGAGACCCTTCCTGGAGAGCCAGCCACTCTGCCAGATGGGAAAACTGGCCCTTGCCTGGTTCCAGAAAGAAACCAGACGGTGAATCAAATGAACACAAGGCCAGAGGCCTCCTGGAAACCGATTTCCTGCTGCTTCTCCTTTCTGAGCATCTAAGTTTTCATGAGGATCCACAAAACACAGAGGGAAGGGCTAACGCCCAGTCTGTCAGTCTCTGGCATGAGAGAGACAGGAGGATGGAGAACCACCAATCCAGCCTCGCAAGGCTCCTCACAAAGCCAGCTGCTGACTCCTCCAGCCTCCCCCGTTCCTGCCCTTTACAGAACCTCTGGCCCATCCCAGGAAGGTTCGGCTTCCTCTCTGGGACAGGCCTGGGGTCCAGTGGCTCTCCTGCTGGTCTTGTGTGTGCAGTGTGGCGTTGGTGCCCTCTAGAGTAGATACGTGTTGCTTCATGTAAAACCCCTTACTAGTGCATGTCGCTTCCTGCTGGGGGGCGGCTGGGAATGGCCCAGGCACCCTTGCCCTGTCCAGACAGGCACATACTCCAGTCCACCTCTTCCCCGGGGGTGCATGCGCACACATGTGTACACGCAGTGTCTGAGCTGCCATCCCATCACTGCAGTAACGCTGGCTCCCCTCACCTCTGGCCTCTCCACGTTAGTGCACGTGCTGGGTAAAAGCAACCCCTTCCTACAGGTAAGCGTGTGCAAGGCCACACAGAAGCAACACTAACCAAAGACAAAACCTACGACGGAGAGCACATCAGGGCATCTGGGTTCTGCTGGAAACTTGCCCCTGGTTTTAGATAATGACCCTGAGTCTCTTGCCCTTATAAAGGCCTCTCTGTGGGATTACAGAAAGTCCAGAATGTTCCTTTATGACAGCATTGTAGCAATTCAAGGGAGGGGCTGGGGAGGTGGTTTCCCACGTTCCTGTGGTCTCGTTCTTAGCTCTAAGGTACCTGGTTCGTTTATCAGGCACCAGCCAGTGCCAGGCCAGGACCGGGAAGAAGAGCTAAAGGGCCAAGGTGTTTGTCTTTTCTCCTGTTTGGGGAAGAGAGACCAGGTCAGACCTTTGCTGCTGCCAAGGACAGAGCCCTGAAGGGGACCTGCTGGCTTTTCTGTGCCTGTGGCAGCAGTGAGCAGGCAGATCTGCCTGGGCCTGGTGCATGAGAGCCTCTGGCCAGGGTCACCTCACCCCACACCCTCTGCCCGTGCAAACCCCCTTCACCTGGGTATATGGCCCTGAATAGGGCTGGAGTGTCCCTCAACTTCCAGGCTCCAGATGCCTCAGACTCCCCAATGTAGCATTGGTGGTGACATGTTCTTTTCTCCTGGGAGGGAAAGAGACCATTTCCATGGTGTTGGAGAGAATGGGAGTGCCCCTAGACTAAAGGGTCCCCAAGCCCCAGGACATAGTCCTACACACTGCCTCTCTCCTGGCTTGGGGGTGGAAAGAAGGACCTGCTCTAGGAATTCACCTTCCAGCGCTGTGAAAATGTACCATCCTTCACAGGGATGGGTGCTCCCAAGGGCTGTGACAAGAAAGGATTTCCTTCATTGTTTGGGGACAAAGATACCCTGACTGTCCCCAAGCTTCTGGGATAGTCGGGTCTGCATTGGAGGGGAAATCCTGAGACATAAGACCACTGCAAAGAGCAGCTGCCCGGGTGCCCTTCACGATCAACCTTCAGGAAGTTGTCAAGGAAAACTGACCCAAGGGCAGCTCACAGATGTCACTCTTGCAAGTGGCCTTCCAAGACTGTACAGTGGGCCTCCCTGAAGAGGGGCAGTGAGCATCCTGTCAGGGCTGAACACAGAGTCAGGATTCCTGCGTCCCTTGTCTCCCTTCCATGGTCTCTTTGGGAAAGTAGCCGCCCTTGTGAAGGTGTGGGGCAGCGTTGCAGGGCCTAGCTGGCCCCAGCTTCCATCACCCTCTTAGCAACCTGTGAAACTCCCCCAGCAGCAGCCTCCCCTCAGCTCTGACGCCCTTGGGTGGAAGCCATGTGGGTGTGGAGACAGCGGCTGTGTTTCTTGCCCGAACAAGCTTCCCCAGGCTTTCCCTGCTCCCCCTTAAGAGCAGTTTTTTCAGACATTTTGCAGTGAATGCAAATCCTATGTTTGTTGGAAATCGGCAGGCCCAGCCTGGAAAGAAGGTCAACTTGCCCCCAAACCTGGGCGTGGCCCTGTCTCCCCAGGATGCCTGAGTCAGCATGGCAGGGGTTTGTCTGCCTGCAGCCTGGCGTGGCTCCCTGAACATCTGCCCACTGCTGGCTGTGCCCCGCTCTCTGCTATGGTCAGACGCCCTCTTCCTGGCCCCTCTGCTTAAGAAGAACTTCCGCTCTTCCTAAGTTCTTTCAGGCTGTCTCAGAGCATCTCAGATACTGGTAAACTCAGGATGAGACTCAGTTGGAGGTGTCTCAGAAAGGGTTTTGAAGTTGGCAACTTGACCATTGGGTGGTCGATCTGGATGCAGGGGCTGGTATCTTCTCTCTAATCATTCTAATGCTCTGGATCACCGAGAGATTGAGCAGCCTCCAGCTCCTCCAGGACGGTGACCAAAGAGACCACACAGGTGGTGGGCAAGGTGGAGAGCTCCCAAAGAAGCCTGTTTCCCTCTCAGCTCCTGGTGGCAGTGGACCAGGTCTCCCTCCTAGGGTCTAGGGAAGCCTAAACTGCCGTTTCCCTGTCCCCTCACTCTCTTTACCTGGTGGTCTTCTCTGCATCCCTCCCTTCCTGGCATCTTGCCCAAGCTCCTTAGTTGCCATCTTGGTCGGGTAGCTTGAGCCATTGAGCTGCTCTGCTCACCCTACCCAACCTGCTATCCAGGGGATCACTCCCCCTGTCACCAGCCTCTATTTCTCCCTGGTTCCTTCTTCCTGTTCAGCCAGACTTCTTTCTTGTTTGAGCATTTGTCTCTGCCTATCTGAAGTTGCCACCTCTTCATCTTTGGCTGGTTTCAAGTCAGCACACCATTTATTTATTTATTTTCTTGCAAACAGTTGCCTTCCTAACCCATCTAGATGGCCCTTCTCATCCAAGGCACAGGAGTCAAAGCATCAGACACCAGGGAGGGTAAACATTCTCAGCTGCTAGAGTTCTAGCTCTGCCCACCCTACTCTCACCCTATGCCATTTAGTTATCTAAGGCATCTAGCAGTGGGTCTTCTCTGTCTCCAAGCTCCTCTTCCATCCCCTTCCAGTGTATCTCTAACACAATCAGCAGCCTCAACAGACCAGTCTTGTGTCTTACCTAAGCTGGGCACATTTCATCTAGGCTGTGAACCCCATTGGATAGGAGGCTTCCTCTGGAGTGATGGTGCTGGCTTCTACCTCTTACAGAAGGCCTTGTGGGGAAAAGCATCGAGTTTGGGGCCTACATCCTCTACTTTCCA